GAAGAATCAAATAAATATGGGAGGGGGAGAGTGAGAGAATTCATCAGAATGGAGAGCAGAACAGGCAGATTGAGGGAAGTATTCTGCTGAGGGGAGCAGCAGGTGGGTCAAGAGAGGTCTGCCATGCCCTGTAGGTCACCTCTGGTCTGGGAATTGAACTTAGGATGCAGTGGCTGTGGACAGCTTCATAGCATTGTGCTTTGACCCATTATGCCACCAGAGAGGACCCGCATCCATTTTTTTTTTTTTTAATAACCTAGTAGTAATCCAGTGTGGAGATATACCACACCTTAATCCACTCACTTGTCATTGGGCACTTACATTATTTCCATAACTCAATTATTGTAAATAGTGCTCTGGGGAACATAGGAGTGCCTATATTCTTTCCAATTAGTGTTCTTGCATCTTTCAGGTAGCTATCTAGGAGTAGGATTGCAGGATTGTAATGTAGATGTAATTTAAAAAACTTGAGAAAGTTCCATTCTGTCTTTCATAGTACTTGTCCAATCTACATTCTTGCCACAGATTACAAGGCTTCCTTTTTTCTCCACACAGTGCCAACATTTGATTTTTCTAGTTTTTTTGATTTAATCTTTTCTCACAGAAAGGAGGTGGCACTTTATTGTAGTTTTGATTTGCATTTCCCTGATGACAGGTAGTGATGAACATTTCTTCATGTGCCTGTTGGCCCTCTGTATGTCTTCTTTGAAAAAGTGAATATTAAGGTATTCTACCCATTTTTGATTTGGGTTATTTTTCTTTTGAGTTGTATGCCCCTTGGACATGTGATGTCCATTCAATTTCTCACTTTTTATGGTAGTTTTTATTTTTCACTGAAGAGAAATATTTTAGTTTGATGTATCCCTTTTATTTTTTCTTGCTGTTCAAGTTGAGTATTCAAAGACATCACTGAAGCCAATGATGTGGTGTTCTGCTTGTCTTCTATATTGTTCTGGTTTCAGGTCTTTTACCCATTTTGTGTTAAATTTTGCATATGGTGTGAGATAATGATCAAGTTTCATTTGCATGTGGTTGTCCATTTTTTCTCAGCACCATTTACTGATGAGACTTCCTTTTTCCATATTATGCTCTTGACTCCTTTGTCATCAATTATACAACTGTGGGTATATTTCTTGAGTTCTAGTCCATTAGTGTGTTAGTGTGTCTAGTGTGTCTAGTGTTTCTGTTTTCTAAATTACACAATTTTGTGAGAGTGAGAACCTTGTATTATAGTTTGAATTCTGGGAGTATGAGATCTATGTTCTTCATTAAAAAAAATAGTTTATATCTGTTCTACATCATCCTTCCTTTTTGTGACATACATGCTTTGTCCTCTCAGGTTTAGTCCCACAAAATTCCTACTACCAGTTCACCATTACTGTAATCCTTGTGCAAGAACACATGCTTTCCCCTGTTTTGATGATCCTGTATCTTTTTTGGTCAGGGTTACTTTGGCTATTCAGGTCTTTTGTGATTTCCTAAGAATTTCAGTAATGTATGCTTTGTTCTCTGAGGAATGCCATTAAAACCTTGATAAGGATTTTATTGAGTATTGCTTTGGATAAGATGACCATTCTAACAATGTTACTTCTTCCATTCCATGAGCAGGATATATTTTTCCATTTCTTTATATCTTCATCTGTTTCTTTTAACTGTGTCTTATAATTTTTATTGTACAAGTCTTTCATCTTTTGTTAGGTTTATTCTTAGGTACTTCATTCTTTTTTTATGCAGTTGTTAAATAGGTTGTTTTCTGGATTTCTCTCTTTTAGTTTACTGTTTGCATAGAGGAATGCAGCAGTCTTTGTATACTTACTTTGAAGCCTGCCACTTTACTGATTAACTTTTTCTAATAGTTTTTAGTGGACACTTTAGTATTTTCTTTGCATGTTAATCATATCATCTGCAGTCTTACTTTCCAAATTTGGATTTCTTTTATATGTTTTGCTAATTGCTGTATCTGGGATTTCCAATACCATGTTGAATATGATTAGTGAAAGTGAACTTCCTTGTCTTATATGTGATCTTAGAAGAAAAGCTTTCAATTTTTACCATTGAATGTATGTTAAATGTGGGTTTGGCATATATTGCCTTTATTGTAGTTAGGTAATTTCCTTCTCTCTCGACTTCATTGGGAGTTTTTAAAAAAAATATCATATTTGGGTACGGAATCTTGTCAAATGCATTCTTTGCATCTATTGATAAGATTATATGAATTTTATATTTCCTTTTGTTGATATGTTGAATTACATCGAACTATTTGTGGATGTTGATTCACCCTTGCATACCTGCAATAAACACCCCTTGATTATGATTTAGTATCCTTCTAATATATTGTACTTTGTTTCCTAAGATTTTGTTGAAAATTTTTGCATCTCTGTTCCTCAGAAATACTGACGTATATCTTTCTTGTGATACCCTTTTTGTGATGATATTTCTTGTATCAGAATAGTGTGGGCCTCATTAAATGCATGTGGAAGCATTTTCCTTTAATTTTTTTTGAAAGGACAGGTCTTAGATCCTTTTTGAAAGCTTGGTAATCAAAATGTATGGTCCTGAGATTTTGTTTTTTTTTGGGATACTTGTCTCAAATTCCTTGCTCATTATTGGTTTGCTGTTTCTTATTTTTTGGTTCATCTTGGAAGGCTGTAGGCTTCTAAAAACTTGACCACTATTTCTATGTTGTCCAAGATACCGCCATAAAGTTACAGTAGTCCCTTATATTCTATTTGTATTTCTGAGATGTCTATTAATTTCTGATTATTTTTATTTGATTTTTTTTCCCGCCCCCCCCCCCCTTAATCAGCCTAGGTAGAGACTCATTAGTTTTCTTTTTTTCCAAAAAAAAGTTTTATTTTTTTGTTGACCTTTTGTAGTGTCTTTTGATTTCTATTTCATTTATTTCTGCTCTAATTTTTATTATTTACTCTTCTAGTAGTTTTTCTTTTTTTAGTTCTTTAAGGTATAACATTATTTTGAGTTTTTTTCTTGTTTCTTGATGTATTCTTGTGTTGCTATAAACTCTTAGTACTGGTTTTGCTGCACCCAATAGGTTCTGGTACATTGTGTCTTCATTTTCATTTATCTCCAGATATTTTAAAATTTCTTTTAATCCAATAGTTGTTCTGTGGCATGCTGTTTAGCTTCCACATATTTGAGCTTTTGTCTACTTTGTTTTTGTGGTTGATTTCTAATTAATACTGTTGCGATCACAGAAAATACTTGATATGATTTCCTTCTTCTTGAATTTATTGAAACTTGATTCATAACCCAGACTGTGATCTAGCTTTGAGAATGTTCCATGTATACTTGAGAAGAATGTGTATTCAGCTTTGTGGGTCCGTAGCACCCTATAAATGTCTGTTAAGCCAATGTGGTCTAGTTCCTTATTTAATTCTGTTGTTTTCTCATTTATTTTCTCTATGATTAATTTGTGCATTTATGAAAGTGGGATGTTGAAATTCTCTACTGTTATTATGTTGCTGTTAATAACTGTTTTTAGTTGTGTTAATGATTGCTTTATTTTGATGCCCCTTCATTTGGTTCATACATGTGATGAATGCCACATCTTCCAATATATTGGTTGTTAAATCATTGTAGTATACCCATCTATTACGTGTTACCTTTTTCACCTGGAATCCTATTTTATCAGCTATAAATATGGCTGGCCTTTAGCTTTTTTTTTTTTTGGTCTTATTTGCTTGTTGAAGTGCTTCCTAACCTTTTGCTTTGAGCCAATATTTATCTTTGTGTGTCTCCTGGAGACAGTAGAAAGTTGAGTATTGTTTTTGGTTAGGATCTTACTTTGTTTCTTTTAGACTGCCCATGAACCTAACCATTTTACTTTTGAAGACTGTTTTGCCATTTTTTAAAATACAGGGTTTTTAAGTATAGGGTTATTTCTATAACTTATGGCTACTTCTGTCCTTAAGTAATTATGACTTTATTTTCCAAAATGAATTCAGTTACAGATTATAAATGTCTTATACATCAATTTGATGATATGAATAAAATAATCACAAATAACTATTCAGGAAAATTCTGGTTTTTGATAACAGTTACTCACTACATTCACTTTTAAATAATGTATTTCTTGGTCATATTTAAAAAAAAAATTACCAAGAATACATTACTGGTTAGCTACTTACAGTATGACCAAATTGAAGGTATAACTTGAAGACTGATACTATACATTTGTAGGATAGGATAGCAGGATGGCACTTTGAATTGTCCTGGAAATTTAGGGCTTGATATGCCTGTAAACAGAAAAAGAATAAAGTTGTGCTTGTGGGAGATTAGATCTGCCTTTCTTTATCTCCTTTGTAAAATATGTTCTTTTTAATGCAAAAGTTTAGTTATTTTCATGTTACTTACCAGGTCCATCTTCATTTCAATACAGGAACTGAATTTGGTCTTAGAGAAAGACAAGGGGAATAAAATTTTAAAAAATTTTCTTAGGACAACCCTACTTTATTTCTCTTGATACTGTTGTCTTAATTTCCTTTTCTTGGGTCTTTAATACAGCTCACAATTTTCCTATTTTAAAAACAAATAACATTTGACTCATTTATTCCCTTTGGTTTTATGGTCATTGCTATGAAGTCATAGAAAACATAGTGATTTGAAAAAATCAACATAAAAAAAATAGGTCTTAAATTGCCAACATGCAATTTACAATTTTTTTTTGTGATGTCCCAAAACTGGTGTTTATCTTTCAAATCTATTGTAGTAGCCAAACTGCAATTTCTAAACTTACCAATCTAGAAAGATCTAATAGTAGATTCAAAATTTATATAAAAGTAAAAATAACCCATAATCTTATATCCAAAGATAGTATAGCCACTATTTAATACTCCCTTCATTATTTCATTTTTTCCTCATTAGAAAATATAACATAACATTGATTTATAGCATCATATAGTTCAGGTGTTCAGTATTATAACTGGCATATTGTATATTATAATCACTACCATCTTCACATAGTTGAAATTGTATTGTCTATGTCAGTTTGTATTTGGTCTTTTTCTACATATAGCTTTAAATTGTTAAGGAAAACTAAGTAGTCTTACATATTCATTCGTTTTGTCATTAAAAATACACCTATCTAAATATAATTATGTTTATAGTTTGTATTAAATATGTATTACTACACACACACATGAATATATTCATATGCATTCAAAGCAGTATTTTATCTGCTTCTATTAAACTTTATTGTCTTTAAGACACAAAAATTGTAACAGTAAAAAGCAGATCATAAAGAGTGCATGTGTTCTCATGAATTTCATAGGAGCTTCTTTGGATTATCTGAGATTTGTCTCACAAAGTTTCTTTGTTTGTAGATTCCTCTTTTTGGTGCCACGACTATTGGCCAGAGAAGTCCTAATGGACCAGTACTGAGCAAAGCTGAGTTTGTTGAGAAAGTTCGTCAGAGTAATCAGGCCTGTCATAATGGAGACTTCCACACAGCTATTGTTCTGTATAATGAAGCCCTGGCTGTTGATCCTCAGAACTGCATCTTATACAGCAATAGATCTGCAGCCTATATGAAAATCCAACATTATGATAAGGCACTGGATGATGCAATCAAAGCCCGACTTCTCAATCCCAAGTGGCCAAAGGTAGAAGTTTCATTTATTTTGACAGTCTTTTGTATTTGTTATTTTAGTGTTTATTATGTTTTAAAATTATTTTAATGTAACACTTTATTGACTCAGTGCAGTTATTAATATTTAAATATGAAATTTGGCAAAATTGTAGGCTAGTTTCATTGGGCTGGAACACTTGAGTGGTTTCCTTTTTTGTAATAACCAAAATATACTTTTGCTGTGGAGTTTAATTCCAATATATTTGAGGTCTGAATTTTTTTGATTCCTTTTTAAAAAAATGTATTTATTGGCCCTCCCTGGTGGCACAGCGGGTTAAAGCACAGCACTGAGAATCTAAAGCCGCTTTCGCATGAGTTTGATTTCCACCTGCCCCGGAGGTGACCATATGGTGTGAGGCAGATCTCTCCTGACCTGCCCGCTGCTCCCCTTAGCAGTGTACTTCGTCGATCTGCCTGTTCTGCTCCCCACTCGGTCTCTGGTGAAGCCTCTCACCGCCCCTGAGCCTCTGGCCTGTACCCCAGTTCTGTATGCACAAATAAATAAATCTTTAAAAAATGTATTTATTTATGCATATAGGAACTAGGGTGTGGGCCAGAGGTGCAGTGGGGTCAGAGGATTCACCAGAGACAGAGTGGGGGGCGAAACAGGCAGAGTGACTGAAATACACTGCTGAGGGGAACAGCAGGCCGACAGGTGAGGTCTGCTGCACTATTTGAGTTTATCTCCCTGGTGAGGATTGAAATCATATGTTGTAGTGGGTGGCTGGCAATAGCTTGATAGTGTTGTGTCTTTAACCCTTGTGCCACTTGGGAAGCTCTGATTCAGTTTCTTGATAATACTAGTAATGTAAATGTCTTAGATGTTCCTTTTGCACAGAGTGTTATGATCATGTTACTTTTCCTGGTCAATGATTGCTTATTTTCTTTTTTTTTAAAGATTTATTTATTTATGCATATAGAACTGGGGTATAGGCCGGAGGTGCAGGGGTGTTGAGAGGCTTCTCCAGAGACAGAGTAGAGAGCAGAACAGGACGACTGACGAAATGCACTGTTGAGGGTAGAAGTGGGCGGGTCAGGAGAGGTCTGCTGTGCCATTTGGGTCACCTCCAGGGCAGGGATCAAACTGGTGCTGAGATGACTAGCTTTTCAGTGCTGTGCTTTAACCCACTGTGCCGCCAGGGAGGGCCCTGATTGCTTGTTTTCAAGGTAATATTTAATCAGATAAATGTTTTTTCCTAATCATAATTGTTCATATCCCCTTGAGTACTGCAAGGCTTTGATTGTTACCTTTGTTTTGTACATACTTGATTTTCAGTGTGCCTACCAACTAACTCTCAGTTTATCTTAGAAACAATTTGTTAAAGTGTGACAGAAGTATTTTTTTTTTTTGAACCACAAAGAACTTGATCCCATTAATAGATGTTTATTTCCTAGAATTAAAAAAAAGATTCTTACTGTTTCATCAATAATGTGGTAAACATATTACTTTATATTTAACTCTGGTAGATATTTTTGTCTTCAATCAGAATTTCCAGCATTGTGCTGCCTCAAGAATTTAGTACTTGGTAATTTATTGCTCGGTAGTTCAGTAATTGGAAGGATTTATTTTATGATTGCAATCAATGTATATGAAACAAAACCTCTTTTCAGATTTTGTTATATGACACCACTTGGGAGTTAGAATGCTATCTTGAAAGGCTAGGCCTACATTCAAATTCCTTCTCTCTCTCTTTTAATATTTGAAGAGCAGGTTTATTAGAAAAGGGTAAGGAAAGTAAAGGACACTTGCCACTTGCATAGCTGCAAGTGGGCAGAAAAGAGCTGCCCTGAAAAGGACAGCTCTGCTGAGAGAGGTCTGATGTTTGCAGGCTGGGGGCCCGGAGGAAAGCAGCCTCCCCTGAGGGAGGTCAGTGCAGAGAAGCCCTGGCAGGTGCAGGTCATGGGCAGGCAGGAGGCTGCAGCCCTGCAAGGTGGAAAGGAGCACCTGCCTAGGCACAGGTGGGCAGAGGACTGCTGTCTAAATTCCTTCTCAATTAATGGGAAATTGACTTCAGGTGAATATCTTTTCTGTGGTTAAAATAAATTGAAAGGCTGTTTTTTAAGGTCAGAAATAATTTGTTACTTGTACATATATGGGTGTTTGATATATAGTAGTTACATTGTGGCATTTTTATTTAAATTATTATATTATTCTAGAATTATTATATTATTCTTAAATTATTATATTATTCTTGACATCTTTTTCCTTAAGTCTGTGTTGATGAAATGAAGTTGATAAATACAGAAAACTGAATTTTCAAATTAGTATCTCCATCTCTTACTTATTTTGGATACACTTATCTTTGGTCTTTCTTGTGTTTGTGAACATAATTAACTTTTACCTTTTCATTTTTGTCACTTCCTATTTCTCATCACAACTTGTGATTTTTATGCAAAAAAAAGGTTTTCAAAAGTGCACTTTTATGATTAGAGGTGAAATTCAATCTTTTAGAATAATTTCTATCAGTTGTCTTTGAGATTTTCCCTCCTCATGAAGATGTGAAGTTACTATATAATCATAATTAGGTTTAAGCAAACCTAATTTAACATCTAGGATTATATAAAACATGTTATTAATAAGTAAGAGCTTATGATAGAAGTCATAAGCTCTTATTAATAACTTACATTTTATAGTAAGGTATAGAAATCATTATGTCTTTGAAGGGTAGCAAGTTTTTCTGCATAGGAAGAATTCCAAGGAATGGTTTATTTTTATATGGTGTAATACTAAATGAAGAAAGTTTTCACAGGCAGTTTTCCTGTTTCTTTAAAATTATGCCACAAATTCCTTCTCTTTATAGATTCTCTTTCCATATTCACATTCAATTGATTAAACCTGATGCCAGTCCTATCATCAGGTACAATAATGATTGATGTCATTTCCTGGAGTTAGTGTGGGATTCTTTGGGAAAGTTTTCACCAGAGCTCCCCTTTCAGAGGCATGCAGCAAGTTCCCAGGAGAGTTTCTCCATGAGACAGAGACTTAGTTGTCTTTAAAGAGCAGGTTTATTAGGGAAGAGGACAGGCAGGAAGAGCCCTAAAAGGGACAGGCTTTTTGAGAGAGGCCTGCATGGGTGCAGGCAGGCGGCCTTAGGAGAGCAGCCTCCACTGAGGGAGGTCAGTGCAGGAGGAAGGGGCATGGGCAGGCTGGAGGCTGCTGCCCTACAGAGGGAGCAAGTGGGTAGAAAGAAGCACCTGCCTAGGCACACGTGGGCAGAGGACTGCTTACAGCAGTCTGCTACCTGCTTTGATCTTAAGCTTTGTAACCTAGGCCTTGGTGCCTCAGCATCTAGATATCTATGGCTGTGTCAGTAGCTGTGCTCATCCCTTCTGCCCCCGATTCCTTGTGTAAGTTGGTCTTGGGATGCCTCTTTACTATCACTTCCTCCATCACTTACAACAGACTATTATACCATCATTGTCAGTTTTTCTACCTGATGACAGTTTTATTTAATAAAAACTTAAAAAAAAAATCTTGGTGTCATGTTTCCTTTTGGTTTACTTTTATTATAGTAACAATATAACTTAATGCTTATTTACCAAAGGATTACCTGAATCCCTTTATTTGTGATATCAATTTTATGTTTATAATAATCTTATAAAGCATGTATTACCCTGATTTTAGAAAAAACATTTATACTCAGTGAGAGATTAGATAATTTGTCTGGGACATGCTGCTAGTAACTGGAAGAGTTAACTTTTAACATACATCTATTGGATTCTAAAGAATTTTCCCCTAAATCAGGGCACTGTTCTACTTCTCTGGGCAAAGGGTTCCATTGATTAATAATTTTTTAATTCATAGTTCTTTCAAGTTTTTTTTTTAAAGATTTATTTATTTTATGCATACAGAACTTGGGTTCAGGCTAGAGGTGCAGGGGCGGTGAGAGGATTCACCAGAGACAAAGGGGGAGCAGAACAGGCTGATTGATGAAGTACATTGCTGAGGGGAGCAGTGGGCGGGTCAGGAGAGGTCTGCCTCGCCATGTGGATCTCCTCCGGGGCAGGCGGGATTGAACTCATGTGGAGGTGGCTTTAGCTTCTTAGTGCTGTGCTTTAACCCACTGCGCCACCAGGGAGGGCCCAATTCTTTCAAGTTTTAATGCTGACATATTAAGACAATTGTTCAATTTTAGTTTCCTATAATATATCCAGAGCCTGACATTGTGATTTATTTACTTTTATCTTTCATGGTGTTACAGTGCAGGGAGAGAGGGGCATCCCTGAATCCCCAAACCTGCCTGCTCTGAATAGGTTCTGCCACTTACCGCATCAAGACAAAACATAAGACCTTTAATGGAAAGGAACTTTAATACAATTAATATGCAATACAGAAAAGACAACGAACCTAATTTCTAAATCAAACACCTGAAGTTACCTGTCTATCCAAAAGGGATTGCCCCAAAGCAAGGCCTGAAAGCCTGTCACAGGACTAAAGCACCTTTTGGCTGGAACCTATAGAAAGGGTCAGAAATGGCCAGACAAGTCTGGGAGGAAAAGAGCACAATCAAAATCAAGATAAACACTGCCATAGTGAAGCTCTCCATGGGTCTCTCACCCACATCTGTTTCAACCAGCCCAGGACCAAGAAGAAAGCAAAGTTTCTTCACATGTCTCTCTGCTCATGTGCCTTCTCAGGTCTCCTGCTGGCTCTCCATCCTGCTTTCTTCCTCTTCAGACTTCTCTCCAGATTGCTCTCTTCTCTGCTCAGTTCCATCCTCCTCCTGGGTGGGGCAGGGAACCTGGAACCTCCCCTTTTCCTGGGTCCACCCTGTTACAATGGCAGGTCAATAGTGTTTTATTAGGCCCAAAGCATTTAATAGAAATAGAAATAGAAAAGTTGTACTTTTATAGATAATTTTAGTAGTGGACATTCATCACAAACATTTGGGTTATGTGTATCTTTCATAACTTCAGTTCATTTCTTCCGCAGGAAATATGTTTATCGGTTGAGCATTTTTGTGTGCTAGGCTA